ATACTGTGAGTGACGCACCAGTGAGTTCGTTGATGAATATGGCTGGGACTGCATGGGATCGTGATTGTGTGATGGATGTATTTAATGCAAGGGATGCAGCTTACATACTAAATACCCCGGTAAGTATTCGCCGACCTATGGATGCCTGGGTATGGAAGGGAGATTCTAAAGGAGCCTATACTGTGAAATCGTGTTATAGATTACTCACGAGGGAGGTATAAACTGATTATGATTGGAACCGCATTTGGCACTTGCAGGTACCTCCGAAAGTACGTGTGTTTGCCTGGCAGCTAGCGAAGGATGTCCTTCCAACGAGAGAAGCTTTAGCTCGAAAACGTGTTGCATGCATGGTTCTCTGCCATATGTGTGGTACCGTTGATGAAACGAATGCCAATATGTTTCGTGATTGCTACCATGTACGTGCGTTATGGGGTGCGGCTGGGTTGCCGATGTTGCCTCTTGATCACGGCTCTTTTGTACAATGGTTCTTTGAACAGATGGCACACCTAAAAGATGATTTGCTGCCTAAATTTGTTATGATATGTTGGGCTGTGTGGAAAAGTCGAAATGCAGCAGTGTGGAGTGGGGTGCAATTTAATGGTGCTATGGTGCTGCGTGAGGCGGTCACTTACTGGGAAAATTGGAGGGCTGTACAAGTGGATAGTGGTTGTATGCGAAGTGGGTCTGCTGGCCGGGAGACATGAGCACGACCAGGTTTGGGCAGAATAAAGCTAAACTGTGATGCGGCATTGGATGCTAGTCGAAATGTTATGGGATTGGGGTGGGTTTTGCGTGATGACGGAGGGGGTTTTCTCGCGGCGAAGAGTATGCAAGTAAGTGGACAATATACGGTGGTTGAGGCAGAGGTCATGTGCATGCGGGAGGCTTTGTCTTGGCTTCGTAGTACGGGATTGGGTGGAGTTGATGTGGAGACTGATTCCCAGTTATGTTTTAATGCGCTCAATGCTGTTTCATTTTTTTCTGCTTTTGGTTTTTTGATTGATGATGTACGACAGGTTGCCTCACTGATAAACGGGGTCAACTTTGCTTTTGTAAAACGATCTGCGAATCGTGTAGCTCATGCTTTAGCTACAATCGTTATATCCTACACCACGACGCACATAGCACTGTGCGCCGCGCGCCTCCCAAAACGACGTCGTTTTGGGGTAGTGTTGGGAAGCGCGGTAGGAAGTTGCTGAGATTATGTGTATTTGTTCACAACGTTATGTGTATTTGTTCACAGCGTTATGTGTATTGGTTCATACAGTTATGTGTATTTTTTATACAATTATGTACATTCTTTTTATACAATTACATACATCCGAATCAGAAAATTTGTGTGTATTATGTTAAGAGTTGATGTGTATTATGTTAAAAGTTTATGTTTATTATGTATTATGTTAGATTATGTGTATTATCTTTTAAAAAGAGTATGTATATTTTGTAATATAATTATGTACATTCATGTATAACTTTATGTGTATTCTAGTATAACATTATGTACATTCTTGAACAGCGGGTTTTTTTTTAAAAGAAAAAACTACTGCCATTCACTGGGGCGGGAAATTTCAAAAAAAAAAAAAAAATTAAAACGACGTCGTTTTGCATCTGGGCGCATAGTGCAACGCGCGCCGTGGTGTAGGATATAAATTGCCCTTTAGCTAGGGGTGCCGTTTCTGTGACAGGTCCGGGAGAATGGTTAGATGGCCCGCCCGTCTTTCTTGTTCCGTTTCTTGATGCTGATTTAATGAATTGAGTTCCGTTTTCCAAAAAAACTATATAATTATGAACAATTAGAACCGGGCGTACCTTAACATAATTTGCCATGACTTTAATTTCAATTCCTATAGCTAAATCAATGAATCAAACACACCCGAAATTATTATATATAATCAAAATTCGGCCCAAAAATGAAAAACAAAACTCAACCCAATTATCTAGCCCTAAACCCAACCCATTATATATATATATATATATATATATATATATATATATATATATATATATATATATATATATATAATCGTTATGCTATGGACCCGTGTCCAGCATGCATGCTGGACATGGTAACGGTGCCGTTAGTGGCACCGTTCTCTTCCACTTTTTTTTTTTTTTTAAATTTCAGACCACTTTGTTATAGGAGTATATGTTCATAATTTTATCACTATATGTTCATAATGTCAGAGCTCTGTGTTCATAATTGCATAACTGTACATTCATAATTGCATAATTGTACATTCATAATGCCATAAACGAATAACGCCGTTAACGGCGAGACAAAATCAAATTTTTTTTTTTTAACTAGAAGGCCGCGTTTTCTATTAAAACGTCGTCGTTTTGGACTCGTGTCCACAATAAGTCCACAACATAATTTGCCATATATATATATATATATATATATATATATATATATATATATATATATATATATATATATATATATATATATATATATACCTGCAAATCCCTAACCCTACCAACTGAACCTATTTTTGCGCCAGCAATTATACTATAAACCGCGGTCCAAAAACAACGTCGTTTCAGTTAACAGAGCGTGTATTTTTTGTTGTGTTAATTACCAACTGAAACTACAATGTATCTAAACTGACACTGCCTCACGTATTATTTTTATATTATCAAATGAAACTGCAATTGATTTGAAATGAAACTGTAGTTGTGTTGAAATGAAACTGCAATGTATACAAAATGAAACTGAATAACAATTTTACATATTTGAGTGTATATTGCCCAACAAAATTGTAGTTATATTAGAATGATATTGTAGTTGTGTTAAAATAAAACTGAATAACATTTCACATATTTGAGTGTATATTTTGTTTATCTTACACTTTCTTCATGTCATTCATCTAGAGAATAAAAAAAAAAATACCTCTAAATAGTTTCATGTCAAGCTTTTATTCGTATCAAATCTAATATATACCACGAAGCCAGCCGGAGACGATTCGTCTACGAAAATTCTTGTTTTTTTTTTTTTTTAGTTTTAATTAATTATATTATTTAAAATTATTTTCTAAAACAATATGTTTAAATTTGGTGACCACCACATTTTGAGTTGAATTGCATAAATTTGTGTTATTTAGCGATCCACAATTTGGTGTGCATTTGAGTGACCCATGTAACCCTTATTCTTTAAAGTAATTGTGATTTGTGGTGTTTGTTATTTGCATTTTTGCATTAGCTGAAGAAAAACTATTAGATTTGCATTACATAGTGGTATTACATTGTGATTTGTGGCTTTTTGCATTATAGTACTAATATAAGTAAAGTTTGCATTACATAGTGGCTTATTGAATTGTATGACGTCGCCATCAACATTTACTTTCAAGTTACTTAGTTACATATAAATAATACTCCACTATATATATTCAACAATTTAAAATTAACCAGGAAGTTGTTGAGTGATTCAGTTATATATAATTATTATATTAAACCATGCATTAGCTTCTCAAACTGGACTTCATTCAAATTTGGCTTATCTAGAAGTCAATTTCAAATATACTAACATACTAAGCTATTAAATTAAACTTACTACTCTATACATGGTTCACTATTATTTATTCCATAAACATTTAAAAGTTAATGCTATAACCTAGTAGTTTAGGATAATTATAAGCATATTACTAATGCAATTGCAACGTTGGGTTCAAATATTGTAAATGATACGTCATATTACAGAGTTTTGGACCAACCTAGGTCAAATCCAAATTACTATCTTAGAAATAATGATACCGGATGTTGTACATAATTTTTTCCCCTGACCTTCTCATTTCTTTTAAAAACAAAAATTTTATTACTCCGTATTAATTAAGCCCTTAATCGCCCTTCATCATCTCCTCTTTCTCCAACAACAACAATATAGTAATGTTACTAGTACGGTTTATCTCTTCTGTATAATTTACAGACTATTACACGTGAAATGAATTTATCCAATACGCTCTCAAAAAAATAGTAATTCTCAATTTCTCTCGATGTCCACACACACACTGACGCACATAGTGATGTTCTAAGAGCTTTACTAACTACATGGACTCTCTAAATTTTTTTCCTTGAGGACACTAATAAGTTACTTATTTTATGTGGGTCCAAATACAAATGTCTACATCAAGACTTTTTGTGTAAGAATAAGAGTTGAAAGTAAAAATTGAGAGTATATATAATATTTTCCATGTTCTAAAATCTATATTCTAAACTCTGTGAAAACGAAAGGGGCTAAGTGCTAAAATTTTACAATTTCAAAGGGTCAAAATATGTTTAGCTCTTTTTGAAGGGCCACTGATTGCGTTTGTTCTCAACTCTAATTTACAAAATACATAGTTTTGATTTTTCTTTTTTGCTAATATTTTCGTCGAATATTATATTAACCAAACTCAAGAAATAGATCAATACTATTTATTTTGTGAAAATATAAATTTTTGATTTGCCAACTATTATGTAGTTGATGACACGTTTGTTACCATTTCAAATGAGTGGTCATAGGATTGAACCCCAGTGGTAGGGCATTGATTCTTTGGGCTGAAATAATTTGAGAAAGTATAAAATAGATACTATAATGGTAAAGAATTGAGTGTTTCAAAAAAAAAAAAAAAAAAAAAAAAGATAGTTTTAATTCTTTTGCTAATATTTTTGTCTAAAATTGACTAAAGTCCCTAACAAATAGACCATATTATTCGTTTTGTGAAAATTGATAGTTTTGATTCCTTTACTAATACGTTTGTCCTTTTTTTTTTTTTTTTTGAATGCTACTGATTCTGTTAAAATTTAGTATCTGTTTATAGTTAATAACGTCTCCACTGAGACTTGAATTCACAACCTCCCATATAGGAGTCCAACCTGAGTGTCATTAGACCATAAGGTCTTGGCTACTAATACGTTTTGTCTAAATTTAAATAAAGTTCTAAAAAATAGGCTAACACTGTTTATTTTATGAAAATTGAGAACGTAACGATATCTTTATAGTTGATAATAAAATAAAAATAAATATGTTAATAAAACAAGTTATTCTTAATTATGACAAACACCTTTAAACTGATAATATATGGGATGAGGATGGTGTATCACTTTTATTGAGGCTATAATAGTTGGGTATACGCAATGACTCAAATATTAACAACTAATTTACTTTAAAATGGAAGTGTATTAGTTCATATAACTTGGCTCAGGAATATAATTAGACAAAATAATGCATATGTGTCATCCATCAAACAATTACAACACATTTGGTTGAGATAAGTGAAAAAGAATAACGTGAGAATAAAATAGGAATTCAAATTACATTATTTGATAGAGAATAATATAATTATTAGGAATGAAAATGGAAGAAATGATATAAAGACTAAAATGTCCCAGTGTAATAATAATTAAGGGCAAATGTGTCAATTTCTTCTTCTTCTTTTTTTTTCATTGTTTCCAAAAGGTTGAAACACCGACCCCAAGACTAACAATACATTTTTAAATTTAACATACATGTAATTTAAAATTTGTAATCTTATTTCATACTTGTAATTTTATTTATTTTTAAGTGTTTGCTCAGTATTTGAGTACAACAAAAAGCCTTTAGGCAGCAATAATTGTTCTAACCATTTTACTTATACAATATTATCAAGTCACTTAGCCTAATCACAAGTACAAAATCCTAGTACCCCAGTGTCTGAAATTCAATATAGCTTTTAATCACATATTAAAATGCATTATATTGTTGATTTTGAGACAGAAAACCAACCATCTTAAACAATTATACTGTGTTAATTAATTAAAGGTTGTTAGGTGAAGTTGTTATATCACAAATGAATCAAAAAAGACGAGCAAATTAAATTAAAGAGAAGTTTAATTTGTTGGAAAATGCTAAAATGGAACAACATTGGACGAATGGACGATTTAATAATATACCACTTTATCTGGTAATAAAATTGGCGTTTTGAACAAGAATGATATATTTCAAAATATTGTGTTGCGTGCCTAGTGCTGGGGTCGTTATATCGTGTTGCATAATTGATTATGCATCGCGCGTCAAACATTACAGTGTGTCTAAATCGGCATTGACTCACGTTTTATTTTTATATTATCAAATAAAACTACAGTTATATCAAAATGATACTGTAGTTGTGGTAAAATGAAACTATAGTATATATAAAATGAAACTGAATAACATTTCACATATTTGAGTGTATATTGTACAATGAAGCTATAATTATATTCAAATGATCATGTAGTTGTGTTTTAATGAAATTATAATGTATATAAAATTAAATTAAATAACATTTTCACATATTTGAGTGTATAAATATTGAATGAAACTGTAGTTATATCGAAATGAAACTGTAGTTGTGTTGAACTGAAACTGCAGTGTATACAAAATGAAACTAAAGAATAGAGTTATTTTTTGCGAAGATTTTGTTTCTTTTCATTAAATAAAACGACTTCGTTTTGACCGTGTTGGTTTAGACACACTGTAGTGTCTGACGCACGGTGCATAATTGATTATGCACCGCGGTGCATGATATAATTTGCCCTAGTGCAATTTACCTTTTATTTCTTAGATGTCAATCTTAGTTTGAAACCGATGAACTGACATGATAAGTTTAAAAAAATTTAGGATCAAGTTAAAAAAAAAAAATAAAATAACCCCATAAAAAATTAGATTCGATAAGCCTAATGGCCCAGGCTAGCCCGATAGCTAAAAGCTTGAAACCACTTAACACTATTCTTTGTTTCACAAGTGAAAAGTAACAAAAATATATATGAAATTTATATGTAAGCTCATTTTTATTAATTTTGTAAATAAATTTATTACAAAATAAAATATTATTGTGAAAATAAAAATTTTTATTATAATGTAAATATATTAATTATTTTTAGTTGAAATTTAAAAATGGAGGTTTAGATATATTAATTGAATATGTATAAGTTTATACTTCGTATTTTTTAGTGTAATTGTGCTAATTTATTAAAATTAAAAATTTAGAATGTTAATTTGAAAATGTTAGGAAAAAAATTGAATTCGAGCCCATTTATTTGTATCATGTATCCTTAGTGGGAGGAAGAGTACAGGAAACATGATATTTTTGGCTTTTTATTTATGTATAAAATGTAGTAGACTTAGACACTTAGTCCATCCCCAGGCTAATTCAAACGAAACGAGCTACATTTTATTTGTTTATTTTCTTTTTCTTTTTTTTTTCTAATAAAATCATACTCCGTAATATATTACTAAATTTTACATTTTTTGAGTACACTTATTATTATCATATTATTTATTGATCAAGTGACAAGAAGCCAAAAGTGTCCATTCCATCAAGATAATGCGGAAACAAAAAAAAAAAAGAAAGGAAGAGGTCACACAGAATTCGTCTAGTGAATGAGAACATAAGCAAAATAATTTAGTGTTGAATCTCAAAGGATCTAAAATATAGGGGTGTTTGGTAAATATCAATTAGTTGATTGAGTTAGTGGGTTTGACTAGTTGATAGTATTAGTTGATTGTAGAAAAATATTTGGTAAATTATCTGTTAGTTAATTACATGCAAAATAACTTTATCAAAAGGCAGCTTTTTGAATTTTAACATTTTGAAGCAATAATAAGTTGTTACAAAAACTAATTAATTATACACTTATATTGATTGTTTAACCAAGTCAAACAGTTAATAATGATCAAATAAATTAAAATTTACTGATAAACTAATTATGTTACCAAACAGGGCCATAATAATTCAATAGAGCTAAAAGAAAAATAAAATAAAATTGATAAGTAGTGTTAGAGGTGTCAACTCACATGCATGAACACACCACCCACCACACGTTGCCTACCTGCCAATTCAACGCAATCCATTTCATGGTATGCCACTATGGCCGCAGTAGCGCTAGCTAGTGTTTTTATTTTTATTTTTATTATTTATTTATTTATTTATTTATAGTATCGTGTTAAGTTGTTAACTACGATAATTTTTGAGTTAATACCCAAAATGGTCCCTCGACTATGCCATAATTATCAATTTGGTCCTCAACTATCATTCTTACCCAATTAAGTCATCAACTATGTAACTTTTACTCAATTAAGTCCTCAACTATACAATTCTTACCCAATTTAGTCCTCAACTATACAATTCTTACCCAATTTAGTCCTCTGTATTAATTTGAATGTTTGTTGACTGTCAAAAGTCGAGATAAAATTATAATTTTACAAGATTTCTTCTTCCTCTCCATTTAGCAGCGCCAAACCATGCAGCAATACACTCCGATCAGATTTCGATCGTCAAAAAATCGTTGGAAATCAAATTCATGGGCTATCCGATGCATAACCACTACTTCGATACTGACAGGTTTAGAACCCAACCGGAGCTTATTGCTACATGGTTTGGCGCTGCTAAATGAGGAGGAAGGAGAAAACTTGTAAAATTACAATTTTATTTCCACTTTTGACAGTCAACAAACAGTCAAATTGACAAAGGACTAAATTGAATAAAAATTGTATAGTTGAGGACTTAATTGGGTAAGAATGATAGTCGAGGACCAAATTGGTAATTACGACATAGTCGAGGGACTATTTTGGGTATTAACTCATAATTTTTTATAGTATCAAACATTTATGTTTCGTGATAATCATATACAAATATTTAGGTATTGAAAATTTAACATCAAAATTTTATATTTTATAACAATTAAATTATGTATAATAATTTTTAAACTTTTGTAGATTTTTTTTTTTTTTTTTGAATGCTAAGCATTTGTATCTTTTGGCAATTATATTCAGTTTTAATATCTACTTTAAGAAAAATATATACGGACCGGAGTATAATATAAATCGATTTTGTTGAGTTAGTTATAAGTTGACACAACAATTATTTTTAAAAATAACACATTAACATAATTTTTTTTTTTTGAAATACTTGATTCTTTATCATGTAATATCTGTTCTATACTTTCTCAAACATTTTCAAGAATCTAAACCCCCACCACCGGGGTTCAAACCTTTGACCATCTACTTAGATGAATAATCCGGATGCCATCACGCTACAGGGTAATTGGCCATTAACATAATTTTTAAATATAATATACATCAAAATGTATACTTTATACAACTACAAATTACAAGCATTATGATCGTAAGGTAGTAGTTAAAGTCTAAGGGTTGAATTAGTTTAGTGTCAAATAGTAATATTTGATATCATCACAAAATACAAATATTTAATATTAAATTTATAAAGAGAAATTATATTTTAAGTTTTACAACTATTGTAACATTGTCACATTTAATCATCAATTTTTAATTTGATCATATTTAATCTCATGACATTGTTCACATTGTCACATTTGATCATCTGTTATAATTTTTATCGAACTGGTTTAATTTATGAGATAATTTGACAGTTTAAATTTTATATTCTTACCCAAAAAAAAAAAAAATTCTCATAAATGACATAATAAAGGATATAATAAAGAAAAAAGTTATTTTCTATCAAATTATTGTTTATTATATTACTTATCAACATTTGTTTCAACAAGAAGATAAAACAAAAATTATAAAATACCAAAATTTCTTAGAAATTAACATTGATTTAATTAAAAAAAATGTAATTAAGGACCAAATGTGGTAACATTAGTAAAGTATGAGATTGAATATGACTAAATTAAAAGTTAGTGACTAAATGTGGCAATGTCATAATAGTCATGAAGCTAGGGGTCCGTTTGAAAATCTGAAAAATGATTTTTAAAAAAATAACTTATTTTTAGAAAATATTTTAATTTTTAGTGTTTGGATGAATGTAGGAAATTATATTTTTATAATTGACTAAAAGTTAAGAAAGTGTTTTTTTTTTTTTTTCTATTTTGTTCATCTTCATGAAAATAAACATATTATTTTTTAATATAAGAAGAAGAAGAAAAACCCATACTCCCTACAAAAACCTAATTTTGTGGCCGATCCTTGCTTTCTCTCCTGTTACTCTACACGGCCGCCGCCTCCGCGAAGCAAGCGGATCGGAGGCGGCGTCCGATCGTCTTCTCCTGCTGCCATCTCCACCGCAGACAGCGTCCACCTTCACCGTTTTCTCCTCCATCCCAATTGCTATCGGTCGTTACTTCTTTACTTTCGCACTGTTGTTTCCCTTTGCTTTGTTTTACTATTTTAATTTTGCTTGCAGCTTCTGTATTCCTCTCGTTTTGACAAGTTTCTTCCTTTCGTTTACTTAATGAGTTCTTTTTCATAAATCGTGAAACGATAAAACTGGTCATGGCGTATGTGAATCTCATCTTGGGTGACAAACATGATAATGAAAAAGAAACTCCTCTGAACTATGATATGCAGTTCAGTTCGATGGAGATATTGTCAATGGATAAAAGAATGAAAATAAATACTCAGAGGGTGTGCAAGACTATTCAACTAGTGTCAGTATTGGGTACGTTTGGTCAAATCATTAAAGAAGCTTTAAGTTCATCTAAAAAATTCAGCTTCAAATTTGGGAATCAGTCTACAAATCAAGTTTTCTGTAGCTTTGCTACGGAAGTTGTTTCTATGTCTGACTGCAATGAATGTTTGACCATTCCATCGATCTTTATTGTAAACGTTTCAGCATATGATTAATGAATTAACTTCTTTATTTTCAGAAAGAAAAGAAGAAGAAGAGGTGTGGTGGGGTGGTGGTAATAATAATAGTAATATGAAAACTCACTTGAAGAGAAATGAAAGAGAAGTGAGAGCCGGGAAAATAAAGAATCTGGAAAATATCTTACGACTAAAAATATATGAAGACATTTTTCATCAATTTGATTTTCTTTTTCCTTACCAAAATGAATATTTTTATTTGAATACCAAACACAGGAAAATTCATAAAATAATTTTCAACAGTCATTTTTTGAGTTCTCAACGAGACCCTAAAAGTAAAATTACCTCATTTTTAAATATTAAAGATTTAAATATAATTATCAGTTGAGTTAATTACCGAAATGGTCCATTGACTATAGCGAAATGATCAATTTGGTCCTTGACTATTTTTTTTTTGACCAATTAAGTCCCTCAACTTTAAAAATCTTAACCAATTTGGTCCTCCGTTTGTTTGACTGTTAGTCAACCGTTAACTTGGGACCAAATTGGTAATTCGCTATAGTCAAGGGACCATTTTGGTAATTAATTTTAAGGGTGGGCAATTCGGTTCAGTTTTCTCGAACCGAACGGCACCAAACTAGTTAGATTCAGTAATATACTGCGCGAACAATCGAACGGTAATAGATTCTTGTATACCGAGCGGTTTGATAAAAACTCGAATCGAACTGAATTGTTCGGTAAAAACCAAACCGAACCGAATACCATTTGAACTTTGGATTGCTATTTTGTTATATATTAGACTTTGGATATGGACTATGTAAACACCATAACACATGATATAGAACTTTTGATAACAAACCATAAAGAAATCAAATAAAACATTTACAAGAGATACTCGTGAGAATATGAGCTAAACGGCATAACAAGTAGCAAGGGACTTGGATTTACTTTTTATTTATTTATTTATTTATTATTATTATTCTTATTATTATATTTTAAAAAAATCAAACGGTATTTGGTTCAGTTCAATTTTTTACCGAACAATTTGGATATGTTCGAATCGGTTTTTTATCTAACCGTTCGGTATACAAGAATCCAATACCGTTCGATTGTTCGGTATATTACCGAATCAAACTAGTTCGGTTCAGTTTGGTACGATTCGATTCGAGAAAACTAAATCGAATTGCCCACCTCTAAAGTTAATTACCAAAATGGTCCCTTGACTATAGCGAAATTACCAATTTGGTCCAAGTTAACTGTTGACTAACGATCAAACAAACGAAGGACCAAATTGGTTAAGATTTTTAAAATTGAAAGACTTAATTGGTTAAAAAAATAGTCAATGACCAAATTGATAATTTTGTTATAGTTAATGAATCATTTCGGTAATTATTATTTTTTTTTTTTGAATGCTACTAGCTCTATTACAATGTAGTATCTGTTCATATACTTTCTCAACCTACTGAAACACAAAGAGCCAATAACGCCTCCACTGAGGCTCGAAATCACAATCTTCCAAATGAAAGTCCAACCCGAATACCATTAGACCACATAGTCCTGGTCATTTCGGTAATTAAAACTTATCAGTTTATCACAAAGGACACTGATTCTGAATATATATTTAATATTTTTCACGGATAGGCTGTTTTAATTTACAAAAAGTATGGGGTTACTTCCACGAAACCAAAAATTTATTAAGTAGGCTATTTGTAAAATACAACTGATGTACTATCCAATAACATGCGAACACGTGTAACAGTGTAAAGAAACCCGCGTGATGATGACCTTCTTTTAAGCCGCGCGATCTTCTACGAAGCGCACTATATTGCCATTTCGACACGGAAAACTTTTGAGCTGTAATTAGTTTTCCATTTAGGTTGACAGCCTTTTTGTTTGACTTGGAATTTGGAAAGGGAAATAAGTTTCTTTTTTCCTTCAAATAATATCATTTTGAGAATATATGTATATATATTTGGAAACCAAAATGTCACAAGATGTTAATTTTCCATATAAGGTTAATTACATATTTTGTCTTTAAAATATACTCCATATAAGATAAGATTGGTAAAATTAATTTTTTAGTGATAGAGACAAGTCAATATTGATTATAATAATATATCGACGTAACTATTTGAAGATCTTAAGCAACATATTTCATTAAATAGTCTTGTGTGTTTTGTTTAGCGCATTCTATGTTCTTATATCATTTCTACTTTTATTTTTTTAATATACATATTAGTGATTAGAACATTTGCAAGCCAAAAATGAGGCCATCAAGTTTATAGATAATTTTAGATTAAGTTAAATAAGCATATTGTGCTCGTTTGATACTTTTGTGGGTTTTTTTATGTAAGGTCACATGATCGAACCTTAATGGTGGGGTACTAGGACTACAAGAGAAAGTATACTAAAAGAGAAATTAATTATAGTATTGTACGAGATATGAGAAGAAATGTGAGCATCCTAAAGATATAAGATAATAATAGATTGGGAAAAATTGAAAGTAAGCCAGATGGAAAAGTGAAAAGGGAAAAATTGAAAGTTGAAAAAAGTCCATTGAAATTAAACGCTATTGGAAATAATGATTTAATTTTTGACAATTTTAATAGCAATTTCGCTGAATAAAAAACTTATTAACCGAACATTTTCTTTAACAATTAAATTGGATCAATCCGCTAATAAAATGATCAAATTCACCAAAAATTGACGCATGCGCTTTATCAATCAAATCAATTAGACCCAATTCCAAGCACATTAGGCTGCCCGCATCCCAAAAGGAGAAACCTTGCAAGCTGAAATGTTAAAACAAATATTTTTAATTTTTAAATTGTCGCTATGTATTTGTTTTTCTTTTAAAAAAATTATGATTGTATTATTATTTTGTGTTAAAAGTGAGTTAAAATTATGAGAATGGAAAAGTGAAACTCACTTTTAAAAGTTTGGAACTGCAAATGTGTAAAGAAAATGGTGAGAAAATTACAAATGTAATGATGTGAAACTCGCGGAGCTCACTTTTAAAAATGATAGAATATTTCATGGACAAGGATAATTTTATAGATAAAAAAAGAAATAGGCCGAGATCAAAAAGTAATTATTATATCGTAGAGCACTGATATACATGTTAAATTTTAATATATTAAAAGTTAAATTTTAGTATATTACATATTTATTTTTTGAATGTTCATTTTTAATATAGTACTTAAAAAGTATATAAGAATGAACATTTATTAATATCAAAAACTTGTGCGGGAGTATCCGTTAGAAGGGTCGGGTCAAAATAAAAATGTAATAATACTTATAAGAGTAAATATCTAAACTGGTCACTTAACTATGTCATAATTCACAAATTAGTCATCAACTATCAATTTTACCAATTAAGTCTTCAAATATTCAATTCTTACTCAATAATTCACAAATCAAGCATTTGTTGAGGATCTTATTGAATAAGAATTGAATATTTGAGGACTTTATTGAGTAAGAATTGAATAGTTGAGGACCTTATTGAATAAAGATTTAATTTGCTAAACTTGATAGTCGATAACTAATTTGTGAATTTTGCTATAGTCGAGAGAATATTTTAAATATTAATTATACTTATAAGTAATAAATACTTTATTACTCATTAGTATTACATTTTCTAATATAAATAATTAAATATTACATTTTCATATTGACCCGACCGATTGTACGGATAAAAATATATAAGACTGTCTCATCCGAGGGTCCCTATTTATTAATAATGCACATGGTGTGAATTATTGTCCATGGTTTAATTTGTCAATCGAATGATAACAGATTAATAATAACAAAAAAATTAAGCACAACTATTTCGTTATTAATTGTTTAATTGATATTGTTACCTAGGAAACTGCTAGCCCTCATTTTACTTCAACTTTTTATTAGTATCGCGATTCACGTTCATCTTAGGATATTAGTTACTTGTTCTTCGTCATTCCTATCCCCTTTTTATATTATCATAAATATTTTTAAATGGTTTATTGCTTAATGGAACCGAGTGTAGATCTGAATGGTATCATCATTCGAATCTAGAAAATCCATACCATATTTGTATGGTACTCCATATAGCTTACCTTTTTAATTACTCAAAGGGAAAGAAACATCATATTTAATGACATGAATCAAAATAAAATAAAATCAATATAAAAATTAAAATATTAAATGCGTTGCTATTAAGTCACTTTTTTCATAACGAGAAAAATCAGCAGTTATTATAAGATAATGTGTAATAGGTAATCTCACAATCATTATATCATGAATCATGGATAAGGTGGATCACTGATATAAGATTATAAGATTTTTTAATATATTGAATGTTTATTTTTTGAAGGTACATTATTTGTGTGCTGAAGGTTCATTATTTGGTATACTACCAAATAATGAACTTTCAGTATACAAATATTGTACTTTCAATATATTAAAAAGAGAAAATCACCATTTTGGTCTCTCAATTGTTTTTCAACTGTCAATGTAGTCTATAGTTTTCAATTTCAACTAATTTGATCATCGAATTATTTAAAATTTCATCAATTAAACACTTATGAGGGACCAAAATGGTAATTTATAGAATTTCTTCAATTTGATCCTCGAAGGGTTTAATTGGCGAAATTTTAAACAATTCGATGATCAAATTAGTTGAAATTGAAAATTAGGAATTACATTGACAGTTAGAAAATAATTGAAAAACCAAAATAGTAATTTCTCTTATTAAAAATGAATATTTATTTATAGTCTACAATATAATTTACTATTATCTCGCATTGTGATCCTAATTGATAAAAAATCACAATCAAAAAATCAACATAAATTGCCCATAAAAAATCGACTCACACAAAAAGGCCGATAAGTCACTCTCAATAGGAATCAAAGTTAAAACTTCATTGAAATGGTACATTATATGCTTTCATGCGTTTTGGCTTTTTGGAGTGTAATGACTAATGACAACCAAACAATTGAAATTATTCGATTTGCATGAATTTTGGATGCGAAGAGCGTTAGGCACTTGGGCGTGTATGTATAAATACCCATAGAAGTTTGCTTGACTGTCCTCGCATCACGCCCCCGTCGTCTCTCCCTAGTCTTCCTCTATAACACCTTTGTCTGAATTTTTCTCCTACTCGGAATTTAATTTTTCACTTTTTTTTCCCCCTCTTATCTTATCTATCTACTACGGAGTGATTCTGATCCGGATTGCACAATAGGAAGTAAGTGATCCTATCTCTTTCAATTTCGATGTTTTCCCAATTCATTTCCTGATTTGGGCATTTCTTAATCGATCTGGTGCAAACTGTGCATATTTACTAGCATTGCTTCGTGCCGTTTAGATCTAGCATGATGGCTGTTTATTCGTAAACGTTTTTAGTGTGACTGCGTCTGTGGTTCATGTATATTTGAAATTCTGAATTGCTGATGAGTTATAGGTATGAGTTAGTTTCGTTTTTCTGGTAATCATGGCGGATCTGGTGGTATTTGGTTGAGATTTGTTGGGTTTGAAGTTGGTGCTGCATGTTTTGTTGTGATTTATGCCCTGATCCAGAAAAGATCACCTGCAAAAGTGTTTGATAAGTTACTGTTAGAGATTTTGCTTTTCCAAGTGTTATATAATCGGAACTTCTGTTGCTTAATTAATTGCCTGATGTGGTAATAGCTTTTATTGTATTTCAATTGTTTGGTTTGATCTTGCTTATTTTGTGTGAAATGGCTCTCTATACTGTCTAGTTGATGCGGTGCTACCTGTAAATCGAGCTGGGAAATTGATTTTTTTGTGCTACTCTGTTGTATTGGGGACTTGCTGCTAATTCTGAAGTTGTGCTATTATTTGTGTTTAGTTTTACTGTGCTACTTTAGAATCTGATTCTATATTTGAAATTTGTTTTTTTCTTCTAGATCTCTGTTAAGATGGCAACGTACACCCCGAAGAATATCCTGATTACCGGTGCTGCCGGATTTATTGCATCTCATGTTGCAAATCGACTTGTCCGGAGCTATCCGGATTACAAGATTGTTGTCCTCGATAAGCTTGACTACTGTTCGAATCTCAAGAACCTCACTCCATCTCGCTCTTCCCCCAACTTCAAGTTTGTTAAGGGGGACATTGGCAGTGCTGATCTGGTTAACTACCTCCTGATCACTGAGAATATAGACACAATAATGCACTTTGCTGCTCAGACTCATGTGGACAACTCCTTTGGTAACAGCTTTGAGTTCACCAAGAACAACATCTACGGTACTCATGTACTATTGGAGGCTTGCAAGGTTACAGGCCAGATCAGAAGGTTCATCCATGTCAGCACAGATGAGGTCTATGGGGAGACTGATGAGGATGCTGTTGTGGGAAATCATGAGGCCTCACAACTCCTTCCCACAAACCCCTATTCAGCCACAAAAGCTGGGGCTGAAATGCTTGTTATGGCTTATGGTAGGTCATATGGGTTGCCTGTGATAACCACTCGAGGAAATAATGTGTATGGTCCCAACCAGTTCCCTGAAAAGCTAATCCCAAAGTTCATCCTTTTAGCAATGAGGGGGAAAACTCTTCCCATCCATGGAGATGGTTCTAATGTCCGAAGTTATCTTTACTGTGAAGATGTTGCTGAGGCCTTTGAGGTTGTTCTTCACAGGGGAGAGGTTGGTCATGTTTACAACATTGGAACAAAGAAGGAAAGGAGAGTGATTGATGTTGCTAAGGATATATGCCAACTTTTTAATATGGATCCAAAAACAAGCATTGAGTTTGTGGAAAACAGGCCGTTCAATGACCAGAGATACTTCCTTGATGATCAGAAGTTGAAGAACATAGGATGGTCAGAGCGGACCGCATGGACTGAGGGTTTGAAAAAGACAATAGAATGGTATACCAATAACCCTGATTGGTGGGGGGATGTCTCTGGTGCTTTGCTTCCTCATCCTAGAATGCTAATGATGCCTGGCGGGGTAGAAAGACATTTTGATGGTCCCGAGAACTGTGATTCTGAATCTTCTCAATTCACTGCAAAGTCAAATCAGAGCCAGATGGTGGTTCCGATTCCCAAAAAGAACCCAGCTCAAAAACCACCTTACAAGTTTTTGATTTATGGTAGAACCGGGTGGATTGGTGGTCTCCTCGGCAAGTTATGCGAGAAACAAGGGATTCCTTATGAGTATGGAAAGGGGCGTCTAGAGGATCGTTCACTGCTTTTGGCTGACATTCAGTCTATTAAGCCCACTCATGTCCTTAATGCTGCAGGTGTCACTGGTAGACCCAATGTTGATTGGTGTGAAAGCCATAAGACTGAAACAATCCGCGCCAATGTTGCTGGTACTCTTACTTTGGCAGATGTGTGTAGAGAGAACGGTATCCTGATGGTGAATTTTGCCACTGGCTGTATATTTGAATATGATGCTGCACATCCAGAAGGTTCTGGAATTGGATACAAAGAGGAAGACAAACCTAACTTCACAGGTTCTTTCTATTCAAAGACCAAGGCCATGGTAAGCTCTCTTTCTCCGTATTTTCTTCAGCCACTATAACCCGGTATATGTATTCATTAAATTGTTATTTCCTTCAACCAGGTTGAAGAGCTCCTGAAAGAATATGACAATGTTTGCACACTCAGAGTTCGCATGCCGATATCATCAGACCTTAGCAACCCTCGCAATTTCATCACCAAAATCACTCGCTACAACAAGGTGGTCAATATCCCCAACAGTATGACCATATTGGACGAGCTTCTTCCCATTTCCATAGAGATGGCAAAGCGTAACCTCAAGGGCATATGGAATTTCACAAACCCTGGGGTTGTCAGTCACAATGAAATTCTGGAAATGTACAAGAAGTACATAGATCCAGAATTCAAATACGCCAACTTCACTCTGGAAGAGCAGGCGAAGGTGATAGTTGCACCTCGAAGTAACAATGAGATGGACGCATCAAAGCTGAAGAAAGAGTTCCCTGAGTTGCTATCAATCAAGGAATCACTGATCAAGTACGTCTTTGAACCGAACAGGAAAACATCTGCATAATTAAGCTTTAGAGATTGTTAAACACGGGTGGGTGGGTTTGTGCGTTAGCTACTTAGCTCTAGTTACTTACTATCTATGCTTAGCTACACTTGAATTCATTTCTGTTGCTTTAGCATTTTAAGAGTGACTAGAGTGCCTCTACTCGGCTATTTATTCGTTGGTATTTCTTGTGAATTTATAATGGTCAGCAGTGCCCCCTTGTCACATGAGAAACTTATACCGCATTCTTGTATGATGTTATCTTATACCAGTATGTGAGACTGTAATTCAATCTATTATGAAGTACGGGAATAATATTTATTTTGCAATTCTGTGTTGGATTCTTGGATAGTTTTTGGCTGTGTGGAGAGACCCGCACTACTTTAACTCCGAAAAAGTGATATTATAACTCATACCTGTATTACATTGCATGAGAAATAAAAATTAAATTTACTTTTATCCCTTTTGAGTATATTGTTATAATTGACAAAATGTTCGAGAATAAAAAATTCAAAATGTTATATACAAATTTATTTATGTAATCATATCATTCATAATTCATAATAAAATTATTTAATTATGATAAAGTAATTATAAATTACTCGAGAACTACACTAATTTTATTCTATTCCATTCTTTTACATGTGATGTGATGATATCATTTACTTATTCCGTCATTCTAGACTAAATATAAAACAATTTTGAAATAGCTATGTTCACTTTTGGTACTTTAACTATTATTAACTTCTCACATTTGGTCCTTAACTTAGTACAAAATATGATTCTCTTGCCACATTTGATCCTACTAGGTAAATCTCTGGCAATCACTTATAGTAAAATGTAAATTCTCTCTCATCTAGCGTTGCTACAAAGATAATAATTCACTTACTGTAAAATGTAAATTTTTGAAGTAAATTATATTGTGCTTAAATTTGAATGGATATTTTTTTCTTGAAGTAATCCCGCTTCTGATGAGAGAATATTTACATTTTTTTGGCAATAGTTGTTGGAGATTTGGTCTGTAAAATCAAATGTGACAATAAAAGTATACTTGTGCACCAAATGTAACAAAATTAATAGTTGAAGACCGAATATTAATAATAAATAATAGTCAATAGACCAAAAGTGACAAGTCTTCAAAAATGAAAGAGGAAAATTATAATTTTACAGTTCGACTTGGAAAAGTTAGATACATGTCCTTAAGCTAAGATTTGAAGCTAAAAATGACCTTTGTATTATGTTGGTCCCGATTTAAAGGAGGAAAAAAGTATATAGAGAGATATGTAAATATTTTTTTCAAATTTTTCTAAGTTTTAAAAGAAAGTTAGAGATTTTTCAACCAAGTAAATTTAAGTTTTTAACACTTACATTAAAATGATGTTAACCACTTAAACTATATAGTCAAGTATTTAAACAAAAGTTTGTGCAACTGACAATGATTTTTCAAGAAATTAATGCAAGTGAAAGAGAGATTAGATATGGTGAAAATAAAGTAAACGAGACAAGTAATTTTATAGTCATTTGAAGATGATGTAATCCTTCAACTCCACTCTTCTCTTATTGTCCATTAGAGAATTCACTATAACGATTTTCAATACAATTACAGTGAATCACATATCAAGTGCGTTGGTCATTGAGCCAACACTAATCTAATCAGGTTTTCACAAGCAATCACTTGTTTTAGTATGGTGGCAAGTAGGGGTGACATTTCGGTTCAAGTTATCTAAGTCGAGCTGAGCCAAACCAAAACCGAATCGAACGGTTCGATTTTGGTTTATTATTAAAAATCGACCAGTTCTATATTCTATAAACTGAATAATTTTGGTTCAAATATATATTAAATTCTCAATTTCCTAACCCAAAATTTCACAATTGTTCTTTGTTCTCAATTTTTCTCTATGAGTCGTAGAGTCTACGACGTTGCAGTCTAATGCCAAATACTAGGCACAGGTGAAGAGATCGGTTCGATTTATAGTTACTTTAGATTGATCAATTTGAAATATGCATTGTTGACTTGTTATTTAGATTTTAAAATTTTAATTATTAATGAAAATGAATAAATAATTATGTGCATAAGAACTAAAACGAAACTAACCTGAACTAAATTTTGAAACCAATTTTTTTTTTCAAAATCGAAAAAAATGAATCCAAAATCCAAAATGTCACCTCTAGTAACAAGTTCATTTTTCCTATTTCTTCTTTTAGTATGGTTGCTAGTTCGAGCACTTCAATCAAGGTGGTCGATGCGGCCTGCAGGCTTACTATGTGTGAGCCGTGAGGAGAAGGAAGGTGCGTTGGTGGAACGAGATACATTAATTGTCACTTGAAAATTTAAGAGGGGGCGTGTATATTAAGGAATTATAGTATAACTATTAATTTTTTTTTTCACAAAGTAGATATCTCTTGGGTAATGGACGATGGACATTGGTCGTTTGAGAAAAAATTAGTAGTTATAAACCGAATCTTGAAAAATGATACTTCAGAGTAGACTAATTTTACGACATCGGAGTTTTGGCTCAAAGGAAATAATTTGCATATTGGGTTTGTGTCAGAGAGGATGGTTGTTCTGATAGGTAACTGTGTGGAAAAATTTATTTGCTTAGACTCAAAGAACTTTAATGGGGGATGTTCGTTCGTTGGTTGTCGGTCACCGATTTTTTCTTTGAATGTAGTTGGAGTATCGTTAAAATGACAAGTTGATGTGCTTAATTATAATTTTTAAAAATTTAGAGGCCTAATTAATTTCTGATGTTAAAATTCGGGTATATATTTGATTTTTTTTTTCAGAAAAGTAATAAAAAAATCAATGGGCATTTCGAGATTTCAACCTTTAAATAAAATTCGTCTTTTAATGTTATAAACTTATAATGCTATTTTCCCCGCCCCTTCTCCACTTGTACTCTCTCCCCGCCACCAAAATAGAGGAGCCGCCTCCATTTCTTACTCCTTTCTCTTCAAATCTGATTTCTTCGTCGGTACATTTCTCAATTTCCAGATCCAATAGTCAAACATCAGTCTCTCATTCCGCTTATTTTAATCGGTGAGTTTCTTTGCTAATTAGTTCGGATGTTTGTTTTGCCGTGTTTATTCCATTCCGCTTTGGCTTAGCTCAGTTCACTTCGTATTTGTTCGTTCAATTGTTTTTTTCTATTTTGGATTTTTTTTTTCGAGTTGATAGGCTCTTAAACTGATGATTTTGGTATAAATTTCACTGCTATGATTGTGAATATGATTGTGTTTGAAATGAGTGTAGATCTTTTGGTTTATTACTGCTATTTGGAATTTTAAGTCATGATTTGGTTATTAGATCTGTTTGTTATTAAAGCTTTGGATTTGAAGCCATTGCTTTTTCTAACTCTTGTATAGCCTAATAAGTTTGAATCTGAATCTGATGTCTTAGCCTGAAAAGTTTTATTTCCTGTTGGACAAGTCTATAAGTCAAAGTACTTCAGAGTCTGTATATTGTGAGGTTTTGTTTACATTGAACTTAAAGAGATTTTGTTTACATTGAACTTCATTTAAGTTTATCCCTGTACTTGAATTTGTAATATTAAAGCTACTAACCATTTGATACGACATTACATGAATCTCTTGGGTACTTTGAGCGATCTAAAATGGGATTTGCTTGGGGAATAATTATAGTCCCAAATATGTTTTCATTAGAGAAATAGGAGTGCAACAATAGCAATATTCTCCCTGTATGTTGAAGGGTTTTAGGCTTTTTGTCTATTTGGAAACTGATAAATCATCTCCAAAATGGCTATCCACAAGAACAGTTGGGCTTGTTCACTACTGCATTTGGTCAAAGTTCACTTTAATCACTTCCTTTTCGACTTTTATTTGCAGATTTGAAAACATCTTTACATTTCAACACATTTTAAGAATGACCATATCTGATTCTCTCAATATGACATATTGTTTGAAGAGATGCTTTTGATTGGTTTAAAAGAAGAAAAAAATGACTTTTCTAATGTAAAGTAGTATTATAGATAAACAAATAAATCTTCTACTGCAATTATATTAAAAGGGTAATTATTCTTGAACTGTTTAGAAAAGCAACATTCTCATAATTGAAATCCAGTTTTAAAGCCATTAATACAATGAGGTTTATGGACACTAAACTTAATACAAAATGCAGGAAATGGGTTTATGGACACTGCTAGAGGGCTGTCTGCTTATTGCAAATGCATTTGCAATATTAAACGAAGATCGTTTCCTTGCTCCTAGAGGTTGGAGCTTCCAGGAATATTCAGGGGTTAAGCGAAATTCATTCAAAGGCCAGATTCTTGGTCTTATTTATGCAACCCAGTACTTGAGAGTTCCTCTTATGCTCCTTAACATTCTATGTATTGTTGTAAAGCTTGTATCTGGATGATGATGTTTGCAGTGAGGTCTAATTGAAACATGTTTTTCTAGCTTACTATATTAATATGGGAGTCAAGGCAGATTTGGGGAAATCCCTATTCCTTTATTTGTTGGTTTCTTGGTGGCTTTTGATTATAAATCACACATTCACACAAAAAAAGGGGGATTAAACATCAAGCTCTCCTGTAGAAAAAATGGGGCATTGATTTTTGTCATGAAAAGGCAGATTGTAAAAATGCTTTATATGTTTTTTCTTTTTTTTTTTTTTTTTTTTTTTTTTTTTTTTTTTTTTTTTTTATGTAATTTGATTTGGGTTGTTTCTGGGTTTTGCTGTAATTGTAATGAATTGAGCTGTGATTTGATTTTTGAAATGTAGTATAAAAATTAATATTATGAGCATTATTATGCCTCTTTGGTTAAATTGAAACATTTTTTTTTTTTTTTGTTTGGAAGAAATAAGAATTTTCCAAAATGTTTTAGGAGTTCCTTTAAAAGAGGTATTATTTGTATCTTTTTTTAACTTTAGATAGCACATACACAATTTCTGTTCCGAGTGCAAAATAGTGTTGCTCTTTGTTCGAGTACAAAATAATGTGATATGTGACAAATATTATAATTTTTTAATTAATTACTTTTACATTAAAAATTTTAATTATGAATTAATTAATGAAATCTTATTGATTGAGCTAATTCTAGACTTACTTTATTTACTTCATATCTTTTAAGTCACGAGAATAACATTGTCTACCAAATTAAACCTCAAAATATATTTGAATTATCTTGTTGCTTAACTTTTTCTTTACAAGTTTGGTTTATAAGATAAGTTACTTGAAAAGAATTGACACATTCTCTTTGTAAACCACATATAGGGCACAATTATTGAGGTCCCCCAATCTAGTTAAGTAGGACATTCCACAATCCACATGACAGTACAATAAGATGTTTCCTAGTTCCAAGTGTTAAGTCAATCTTCCCGACAAAACATTTAAGAAAATGTAAATTACGATGACTCAATGACTCAACAAACAGGGTCAAATGCCAGTGTACACAAGGAATTTGTCCACTTTGGACATAATCCCCTCACTGCCACCGCCCAGGTTCAAATGTTGGTCTCTTCTTTTAAATACTACCTACTGAATCATTGAGTTAAACTCGTGCGGGCAAACAATGCATAAGGCTACATCAGAGCAGTACCATGTTAAAACATCAGATTGTTCAAATCAAGGTGGTTCCTCAGGTCACCTCAATCTCCTTTTTCATTATACATCCAGATGGCTGGACTGAATAATAAATTCTCTGTACCATAAGATACATGCAGAAAAATGCATTCTTGATGCGTTGGGCTTAAAATAAAATACATTCAACAAAGCTTTTATGAATTTTACAAGTATAAATGAGAAAGAATGTTCAAGAAAACCTGTGTATCAAAAACTGTAACTTCTCTTATCAAATGGTTAAGTATTTAACGAGAAAGAATGTTCCCTGTGTATCAAAAAGTGTAACTTCTCTTATCAAATCGACAAAACCGGCCTCCTCTTTCAAAAAAAAAAAGGAGATAGCCATGTGTTAAAATTTGCTACATCCGAGATTTCACAAACGCCATGCAGTATAGTATAGTAGAACAGATCATAATCTTTCAATTCTGAAGGTATAGTAGATACCTATTCCGTCTTAGCAGAGTTGTTGTGTTTCCATCAGTCTAAAATTCGTACTCGTTTTCCAGGAAATTGCTCCAAAATCAGAATGACTAATCTAATGATTAAGCCAGCCAGCTTTGAAGCACTACTTGTTGCAATAGGACTGCAAGAATGCTGCCCATGGATATGTTAATTATATTCACAGCATCATTGTTGAGCTGAAAACCAAAGGATAGAATGCAGTCAAGCTTAATTGACGATGTGAGACTAGCATGCATTTATTTGTATGTATAGAGATGCACAAATGCCATTATATATGTACTTCCACATATTTAATTTGCATGAAAAAGGTGGCAACAAATTGATGACTTACCCATCGAAATCCTTCTTTCTCCTGAACCGTGGCACCAATTAGGCTTTCACCGAAGTTGGCTATCTGGGAGGCCACCACACATATAGCTGCTTCAGGTCTATTTATCTGCGAAACAAACTTTCCAGTCAGAGTTTGAAATATATCTGGCCCTCGTTAGGAAAAAAGGCTATACATCGTTGCCCTAACTTGCATCCCAACGAATCTACTAAATCAAGCGTTTCCCTTTTTCCCCATTCTATAACCTAAATACGTTCCCCAAAATGTTCACTTACTGTGACCAAAATCATTGAACAAAATCTTTAGGGTTTCCATTAGGAATCAAGAAAATATGGAAGTGAAGTCCGATCATAAGCCATACCTGACCCATTATACATCCAACAAAAGCAAGGAGAATTGAAGCTAAAAGTCCAGCAAAAGTTCCTTCAACACTCACAGCCCCTTCTGTTCCCCTAGGAACTACCTTGAATGTTGTGATGAGGTACCTGCAATGATTTAGTAATGTGAGAGTGATTCTCCCATCTCAAATACAGAGTATATACATACATAATTTAATACGAAACAACTGGTATATAAATGTTCCGAAGGGTATACAGGCAGTACTGACGTTGTTTTACCATATGCCTTCCCTATCTCACTTGCAACAGTATCACTCAACTTAGTGCAGAAACTCGCTACAAATCCAAGGTCCCATAACTGGGAAAACGCATCTCCACCAACCCCATTAATTCTCAAGAAAGCAAAAACACAACCAGCTGCACTGGAACCAATCACACTTCCCGGGCCTCTCCTTCCTTTCCTCTTCTCTGCAACGCCCTGAGCTTCCTTCTGCGCCATTTTCACTTTGGTCGCTGCTGTGCCCTGATAAACTTAGATTAGTCAAGCCACATTCCTAGATACAAGTAAACACAAACACAATCCTCCAAATAGCTTACACATTCTTCCTCATACCGTTCCATAAACATCTAAATTTCCCTCAAATTCAAAGATCGGTATCATAATGGATAATGACAACACACATTTAGCAATAAATAAAGGTTACCTCCAACAATAATAAAATCCTTTCCATATGCTATTGCTTAAGGCAAAGCAATAGAACTATAAACAAGGAGAAAACAAAAAGAATAACACTAAAATATTATTTTAACTATATTACAAATTCATTTCACAATATACATATTTATATGATATCTACAATTGAATTTCATTTTATACATAAAATAAGTTCATTGAAGCAACACTAAAAAATCATTTTAATTCTAATACATGCTCATTTGACAATAAAGTATTATTCATTTTAATTCTATACAAGTTGATTTGACAATAGTGATTTTACAATATTGAAACCACTCCTTAAAACCCATCCACAGAGAAGAAGGGCGGAAAAAGATTTGATTTTGAGCTTACAATTACGAAATACGTTGCGACGAGAAGAAAGCCAGAGGGTCCAAAAGCGCGCCAAGTGAGAACTCCGAGCAAGAAAGCAGCTCCAATGCCTGAAAGCGACAAACCTGGGACTATAATTGGCATGCCCAGAACGAAGATGATGATGTTGCTGAGAATGGCGGAGTGCCACGTCGGAGGTGAGGCTTTGACTAGCAGCATCGCCCCCTGTAAGAGACCCAGATCAGTGGGCGTTGGTGTGTCCATGATTTCGGAGAATTGGGATTCTTGGGAAGTCAAAAAAGGTTTACTGGGAAGGATTGGAGGAGAAGAGAGAGATCTGAGGGATGCGAATTGCCAAGGGAGGAGTGATCGATCGGTATCGGTTGCGTGAAAAATGAAAATGGAAGTCACTCAATTTTAAGGGACCGTTTGGTAGTTTTGTTTTTGTTTCGTCAGCTTTTCATATTGCTCCGTGTTTCACAATTACTATAATATACCCAAATTCAAAGTATCTATGAGGTCCATATATTATACCAGTAGTATTTTGTTCAATTTAATCTTTCTATCATAATTTTATTCAATTTAGTGCATGTACGTTTAAAAGTGAAACAATTAAGAACAATAGTTGATGTGACGCTAACATTATATCTGTCACGTCATCATACTTATATGTCAACTCATATATTATTTTATAATTAAAATTAATTATTTTTTACCACCTGTGAGCATATATCCATTAATGTGTATCCAACTATCAGCTTAGGCTTTTAGTTGAGATGGAGCACATGCTTCAGTTTGGTATCTGGGTTCGAATCTCAACGCCACTCGTAAGCAACTATGGTTTATCGGAATCCACCGTACACGTGAGGGAGCGTGTGAGCATATATCCGCGACTATGGTTTATCGGTCCATATCCAACTATCAGCTTAGGCTTTTAGTTGAGATGGAGCACATGCTTCAATCAATATATTACATATTAATATGTCCAAAATAAATACATATATATAAGCTATTGTCTTTAATTGTTTCACTTTTAAAAGTACAGGAACTAAATTGAATAAATTTAAGGTAAAATGACTAAATTGAACAAAACACTATATTATAGGGACCTCATAGATTCTTTGACCTATACAGGACTAATCATTTACAATCACAGAAGACTATTTTAAGTCCAACAGGATGTGACTGTGTTTGAAATGAGTGTGTAGATAAGTTGGTTTATTATTGCTATTCGGAATTTTAAAGTTATAATTTTGTTATTAGATCTGTTTGTTATTAAAGCTTTGGATTTGAAGTCATTGTTTTTTAAACTCTGTAGTCTAATAAGATTGAATCTGAATATGATGTCTTAGCCTGATTTTATGGTGGACAAGTTTATAGGTCAAGTACTTCGGAGTCTGTATATTGTGGGATTTTGTTCACATTGAACTTCAGTTAAGTTTACCCCTGTACTTTTGGAATTTGTTATGATAAAACAATTACTAATCCATTGGATATGACATTGCATGAATCACTTGAATGTAAAATTCCATGAATGATTATAGGATAAACATGGAATTTGTTAAAAATTTTGGTAAAAAATGATCCATGCAAACTAAACAGATTAGACTAGGGTCCCTGCATATCCGTTATGGGCTGAGAGCACTCTCTGAGTACTTAAATGTTGGTTTCCAAGGGATTTTGAACCAACACATAGTGACGTTAGGTCTTGTCTTGCCTTGTGAGTGAGCTTTAAGTCTTTAACTCTTGAACTCTTTAGACTTCAGCGGATGAGAACTGAATGAATTGTATTGAATAATATGATTACAATTATACATATTACAGGTATATATATAATTAAGGAGGAAGTCTTAGGGAGACTAGGATAGATAATCATAATCTAACTCAAATACATAGGGTCATAATACTCCCCCTCAAGCACAAGGTACACTGGTGACTTGTAGCTTGTCTCTAAGAAAAGAAAACCGAGGACTAGGTAGAGCCTTTGTAAAGATATCAGCCAATTGATACTTGGTTGAAATAAAGTTAACCTGTATATCTCCATTTGCAAATCTGTCTCTAACAAAATGATAATCAATTTCTATATGCTTGGTTCGAGCATGAAAAATAAGATTTTGCACACACATATGTAGCTCCAAGATTATCACACCATAGCTTGGGAGTGGGCACGTTAGTTATACCAATTTCTCGTAGGAGTGAGAGAGTCCAAATTACCTCAGCATAGACATCTGCTAAAGCTTTATATTCGGCTTCGGTAGATGATCTAGTAACAATTCGTTGTTTCTTACAGACCCATGATATAAGATTAGAACCAAGAAAAACAGCATACCCACTAGTTGAATTACGACGCTCAGGACAGTCGGCCCAATCAGAATCTGAGAAAACATGTAATTCTCTAGATAGTGATTGCCTAATTCGCTGACCAGATGTGATAGTTCCCTTTACATACCTTAGAACGCGTTTCAAGTGCTCCCAATGATAGATTGTAGGTGCATGCATGTGCTGACACAGTTGGTTTACTGCAAAGAACATATCTGGGCGAGTAACGGTAAGATATTGTAAAGCACCAGCCAAACTCCTATACTATGTGGCATCATCATATAAATCATTATTGAAGACGGTGGGTTTTGAAACAGATATGGGGGTGGCTAAAGGCTTACAGTCTGTCATGCCAGCCCGTTTTAAGATATCTGTCATGTATCTTTGTTGAGAGAGCAAAATTACATCCTTACACTTAATGATTTCAATCCCAGGAAAGAAACCAGGTTCACCAAGATCCCTAATCTTGAATGTAGATGATAGTGCAGTTAGAAGAGTACTGATGAGACTATGATCATTGCCCATTACAAGAATGTCATCAACATAGACAGGAACATAAATTAAACCTGAACCTTGTGAGTAGTAAAACAAGGATACATATGTTTTTGAAGCTTTAAAACCTGCTGCCATCAAAAAGGTATGTAAGCGATTAAACCAAGCTCTGGGAGCTTGTTTGAATCCGTATAGAGAACGTTTTAAGAGACAAACATGATTAGGAAACTGTTTATCAATATATCCTGGTGGTTGCTTCATATAAACAGTCTCAGATAGCTTCTCATTAAAAAAAGCATTGTGCACATCAAACTGCTTAATAATCCAACCAGAAGATATAACCAAAGATAGAAGTAACCTGATAGTAGTGAGTTTGACCACTGGACTGAAGGTGTCAAAAAAATCATGACCAAGTACTTGATTAAATCCTTTAGCTACTAACCTTGCTTTGTACCGTTCGATTGACCCATCGATTTTTTTTTTTTGTGCGAAAAACTCATTTGCACCCAATAATATTCATATCAGACTGTGATGGAACAAGATACCAAGTTTCATTCTGAAGAAGCGCATTAAACTCTTCATCCATTGCCTTGCGCCACTCATCATGTTTGACAACATGTGTATAACAAGTAGGTTCAGTGGGGCAAACCTGAGCAGATAGAGCCAAAATGGGACCTTCACCGTGACTCCAAGTAGCCATGGAGTGGGTTCGAATCGTGGGCCGTGATGATCGCCCTCTCAGTCGGCCACGACGACGCTGGGTAAGGGCTGCTTCGTTGTGCGCCGAGGACTCGTCCTGGACCGGTTCTGGCTGGCTGGGATCGTTGTTGGCTGGAACTGCTTCAGGTCGAGTGGGTTGAACTAGAATGGAGGATGAAGCCGGAATGAGAACGGATTCAGCCCATGGTTGAGTTGCCTGAACGGGTGGTGCCTGCAAAACTGGCTTACTGAAAGGAAATATACTTTCATCAAACCAAACGTGTCTGCATATATATATATATATATATATATATATATATATATATATATATATATATATATATATATATATATATATATATATATATATATATATATATATCTTATTAGTCTGAAGGTTCATGCACATATACTCCCTAAATGACTCAGAATAGCCAAGAAAGACACAATGAGAATATCTGTAATACATTTTGTGACGATTATATGGATGTAGGTAAGGATAACATAGACAACCAAAGACACAAAGAAAATAATAGGACGGAGTGGATTTATGCAACATGAGATGAGGACTTGAATTATTTAACACAGTAGATAACATCTTGTTAATTAAATAAATCGCCGTCTCAAATGCATAATTCCAAAACTTAGAGGGAACAGAAGCACGACTCAAAAGAGCTAAACCTGTTTCAACAACAATGTGTCTATGCTATTAGACTCAACACGTGCTAAAGGGAAACATGCAGAATTTCCCAATTGACACGATGAACATAAACTGGAGTTACAATGAATAGTACGACTAGAGCCACTAACCGGACAAGACTGAAGAATTTGACTAAGGACACACGGATGATGATGACCCAAACGATCATGCCAAACCGAAGCGAAAGCACGAGCGGAGAGAAACGCAGAAGGAGAGGAACTTGGAATAGGCACAGTGTATAGGCCACCCAAACTACTACCCCGTAAGAGGATTTTCTTGATGGTGATATCTTTCACAAGAAAAAAAAGAAGAACCAAATGTTGACCGATGACAAAAATGATCATGCAACAATAATATTATGACCAAATGTTGATTTTCTAATAAAAAAGGACCAAAAAATAAACTATCACCAATAAATTTAGGACAAAAAATGAAATTAACTCTAAATCTCTAATAATTAATGTTTGGTATTCATCAATTTGGATATTTTTTTCAAAATATAGGACTTTCACAAATCACAAGTATAATTTCGTTGGATTAATATAATATTTTAAATTTTTTTATTGATAAATTTTGTATTTTGTATTTTAATAATTTTACATGATTATGATTTTAATATTTGGGTATAAAACTGATTAATATGTATATACATTGCAAAGTAGTTTGTACTTCAATGACGTATTTGTGATTCTCTCAATTAGAAGGTCCCAAAAATGGCGTATAGACAGATACCATATTGTAATAGAATTAGTAGTACTCAACAAATGTATATATATTAACTTTATTATTATTATTATTATTATTATTATTATTATTATTTGTTTAAGGATATCAATACTCTGTAAAATAATTAATTATTAAAAATAGAGTAAATTGCATATTAAGTTCCTGAGTTATAGTCAAATTTCGACTCAGTTCTTAAGTTATGACCGTTTCTGAGTTTAGTCCCTCAGTTATGAGCAAAGTGACGAGTTTGGTCCCTAGCGTTAATATTCTGTCTACAGCTAACGAAAAATTTAAAAACAATTTAATAATAGAGGGATAAAATATGAATTTCAAATTATAATCCTCTTTTTATGTTGAAACTCGTTGCGCAACAGTCATTCTTTTCTTCTTATACATATAATTGAAAGTTTTTTTTCTTCCCCAAGCTCTGAAATCTCCCACTTCCGTTAGTTATAAGAAGAAAATAATGAA